ACAAACAAACAAACAAACAAACAAACAAACAAACAAACAAACAAACAAAACAAGCAAAACAAACAAAACAAACAAAACAAACAAAACAAAACAAGCAAACAAAACAAAACAAACAAAACAAAACAAAACAAACAAAACAAAACAAACAAAACAAAACAAATCAAACAAACAAACCCCCTACTATGGTAGACCTGTTGGTGCGGTTCCTCCTTCATTGCCCCCGTTTCTGGTCAGATCCATGGCCCCGCACAGCCGTGGAAGTTGTGCCATGCTGCTTCTGTGCCGATCTTTGGTGCAAGCCACCAGTCGATCTGAGCGAAAAGGACGATCGATCGACTGGATGGCAGTCGTTTTGAGGTGAGATCGGGGTGAGATCGGGCATAAAGATCTTACGTCATGTTACGACAAACAAAAGGGTGGATGGAAGAAGTCTCATTATTTGGACAACTGTTTTGTGCTTTCGCTTTGGAGGCCCGAAACTTTCCACCACTATCGTTCCGAATCTTGGGTGTGAGAGAACGGAGGAACAAACCGTTTAGCTGGGCCAGTTTTTTGGAATGTGCCAGACATGTTATGAAACATATTCGAAGAGACGACGGAGCCAAAGCGTATGAAGCGTTGCCGGGGGCGGTCGAACTGACCGAGACCGAGAACGAGACATATCGCTGCATTGCCTGAGTTGTCGGATGTCCACTCCAACAAACAGTTCTACTCTCCAAAACAGTGACATTGAAGGCTGCTTGTAGAGAAAAATGGTCTTCCAGGGTCCTATGCTCCACTGCCATGAACACTTCGGGGGCGTTCGCCGCCGCGGCGCGGCGTGTATTTACCATCCCGCACCCATCTCGCCCATCCAAACCCACACCCAGGGGTTCCCTCAATATACAGTGGTCCCTCAATAGATAGAAGTTCGTAGATCCCCACTGTAGAAGATGTGTGGGAAACCGTGCCACGATCTATTAAGGGGGATCAAAAAAGTCCTCACAAAAAAGGTGTCACATAGGCCCTATGTAGGGAAGAATCAAGGGGGTCTTGTGAGGGGGTATGTGCAAAACCCCTAGGCCCTAGACTTTGTCGCGCCCGATCCGATCCGTCCCCAACCGCAGCGTCCGTCCCCGTCGTTCGGCCTGGTGAATTTGGGGTCCGGTCTCGGGGCCCCTGTCAATCGCCTCAAGCCGCCTCACACGGGGGAGATCAGACCGAAGACTGGGTGATCGTGTCTGACTGGTCTGACTGGTCTGGTCAGCCCATACCCAGGGCATCGGCACACCTACGTGCCCAGTTCGGTGAGCCAGCCCATCGACCGGACCGGAAGACGGCCCCTGATTCCGAAGGTCTTTCGGGGTCAGTGGGATCCACTACCATAGGCTTCGCATGGCTTCGCGACCGCCCAGCGGGAGTGATGGATCCATTGGGATCCGCCCAGCGGGTTTCCAGGGATCCATTGGGAACGCCTGCGAGTCGGTTTTTACTCTCTGGGAAGCAACCTGCCACAGAAGAGAAGGGGAGCGTGGCACCAGGTGGTGGAAGATTCTACAAGTCAGGAATTCGTCCAAGCACTGGAGATTCTTCTAGATTCGTGGGATGAGGAAAACGATCACTTGCCACCATTCACCAAGCCCAATCCCAATGAGTTCAAACCTCCCAGCCACCCACGGCCTCAGATGCCTCCATAGGTACATCAGCCGTTGCAGGAACCTCTCTGGCTGCATTCGCCTCTTCAGCTACCATCGCCTCTGCGCTTGCCTTAGCTTCCTCAGCAGCTTTGGCCTCAGCAACCTTGGCTTCCTCAGCAGCCTTCGCCTCTGCCGCAGCCCGAGCTACCTCAGCTGCCTTGGCTTCCTCAGCAGCCTTGGCCTCTGCGGCGGCCTTGGCCTCTGCGGCGGCCTTGGCCTTGGCCTGCGCGAAAGAGTCTGAAGGGGTGTTGCCCCTGAAACTGTCTGGATAAGACATGCTCTGTAAGTCTAGACAACTTTCGAGCTGAAGATCTAAGTAGCCAGCTGCAAGGAGAGTCTCGTTCACTTGATTTGACCAACAACTGTTTCTTTGATACTACAGTGGCGTCAAAATAGATGACACAACCCCCAAGATGTTCTTTAGATGAGAGATGAGGGTCCATATAAACCACCAAACTTGGGGATTGTGCCATCTATATACTCTGAAACCACTGCCATGTTTGTTTTGGCTACCCGCTTGCCTGGCTTGCAAAAGAATTAAGAATGATGCTCACTTGAGACGTTTGCGACTCGACCCCCGAATTCGTAACGGGCGGATGAGTATAGCTAGATCTTCCAAGTGTGCAAAATGTCTATATACATGTTCATCTATAAAACCAGTCAATTCAGGCAGACATGTTGCATAGTTGGAAGATTCAGGTATCCCAGACTCCCAGACAGTCCATCCGACCATCCATGTGACTGGAATAGTTACAGTACTTACATTGGGGTCATTTTCATTGGGGACTGGAGGAAAATCAGGCGCTTTTTGTGATTGGGCTGGACATGCACCACTGGTGAATCGTGGTGTTGAGTCTTCCCCGAATTCGCCTGAGTGACCTCGGACCGCCAGCCACCCAAACAGGTCTTCTCCTATCAAAACACAGGCCATGTCTGGGCTCTAGTTCCCCACTTGGAATCTTTCAAGTGATAAAAGGAAGAGAACCACCAAAACAAAAGGCAGAGATGGCTTTATGGTCTCGAATGAGATGAAAAAAGAGACCACTCTGCAGTTTTTCGTTGAGAAAGCAAGACATCAAGCCAATAGTTGGGGAGGCCTCTCTTTTACTTTCTGTTGAGCAAACCGGATCGGTTCGTTTCATCCGACACGCCTCCGCAGCCAACTCGCGCTGACGCTCCTTGGAGGGACGCTCCTGGAGTTCAACGGCAACTCACCGGTGGGTTGACGGACTGAACTTCAACGGCAAGGCTTCCGGGTCCCAAAACGGACTCCCGGTCGTCAAGTCAAACATGGTCAAGAACTGTTTGGGCAAGGGCCTAAGAAGCCTATCTAGCTCTTGACCAGCCTGGAGGTGTGAAAGTGGATTCCAGCTTGCTAGTGGGATCCGGCTTGCTCCCCACCTTGAGTGGGTGTCATTGTTGATGTTCAGACACTGGCCGAGACATCTCACCTGTGGTGTAGCACCAACCTGTCAACCTCAAAGGCACCGGCATCCGGTTCGGCTTTCCGTGTCACGAGAGGTCAGGACTCACAACGAAGTGCGGGTGCGGTGCTGAAACATGCGTTGCGCCAGGGGCCCCAGGGTCAGGAGTCTCGAGGAAAGTGGCAACTAACAAGAAAAAGTCACGCATGCACACACCCGAACAAGCCCAAACAAGCCGAACGCCGAACGAGATCTGGGGCTTATTCTGAAGACCGCAGGTTCAACTGTTCACATCGGAGAGTCGACAAGCTGTCGGTCGAAACATGAGTAGCTCAATAGCAATGAGCCGCCTGGATTTCCCCTCAAACAACATCACAAAAGCTAAAAAGATTCCACAAAAGTACAACAACCCCCCCCAAAAAGAGCTTTTCCTCCCCTGAAAAGAGCTGCCCCAAACAACCGCCGACCCAAACGACCGCCTCTTTTTTGGGCACAGGATTTGCGCCGCGGGCTCATCCCAGCTCGGTGAAACGGGGGCGGAACGAGTCCTTCCCGGTGCAGGGCGAGCCAATGGACCGGGCGAGCTGCCTGAAGTGGTCTGCCTGTGGGCCTGGTCTCGAGGTGTTCCACGAAGACACATGGGTTGTCCCCCCCCCCTTTTCAACCATCACAACTGATCGGTAAAGATGCCAACACCCCATGGAGTGTCAGGGTAAAGATGAGATGATGAGATGTGATTCAGGAGAATTCAAGTGGAAAAACCACAGCTGCCTTCCCCAACTCGCCCCTCACCTCTGCGGTTCGGAAACAGGCATCTCTCATTGGACAGGTGCCTGTGATAGACTCCGCATGACTCATCAGACACAGCCATCGACACAGCTACGACGAGCATGGAACCCTTTAACAAACTCTGCCATGTTGTTGTTTCTACCTCGGTCAAAGCCTAGCGGTGCTGCTTGAGCGGCTGCTAACTAGCGGCCCTAACTCCGAGATTCCTCCCTTTTCGCGCCCTGTTAAACGAAGGTGAAGACATGACCGAAACATGGTGGGATTTCCAAAGATCTGGCAGGAATCTGGGGATGTCTCAAAAGCATCCTCTGAAAATTGTCTCTCCACTCTGAGCTGGATAGACTACAGACTCTTCCCAGGCTGTCAAGGATCTTTGAGACATACCCCTGTCAGCTGGGTGGCTGGGTCATTCGCTTGCAGTGACTGTTGATTCCGCCCTGCACAACTGGCGCCGAAAAAAATTTCAGCACACGTTGAGGCGGCAGGGGTGAGAGAGTCCGACCGAGCCGCTCATTCCACTGGCCTTGGTGGTCCAGTCGCAGGGGCAGACGAACACTTCCAAACTCAAGAGGCACAACACACCCAGTGGCTGGTGGGAGGAAAGAATGAAAAAGACCAAAAATCAAAGACCGATTTTAGGGCCTTTGATTTAGGTCAGTCGAAAAGAAATGCTTGCATGTCGCGGTGTTCAGTCGATTGTTTCTAACCAATCCTCAACACTGCTTCTAAGACCGCCATGGCAGCCAGATCGCAAACGATGGAACCGAACATCACACAGGTGTTTTTCAGATGCACGTCTCAAGTCCGCTGAACATTTCAGGCGCCACCGTCCGATGTTCGCCCCCCCAGATCGTTGTCGGTTTCGGTCCCTTGGAAAGGAGATATCTGCCAGCCGGTGACCCAAAACACTGGAACACCAAATTGTGACGTATGACGTATATGACGTATGCAATATAAAAATGGTATATGACGTATGTCCCTTGAACACCAAATTGTGACGTACACCACGGATCTGATGTGCTCCCATGAAATGGTTCGAAAACACGAGACCCAGCCCTTGAGACCTGCAGTTCTTTGGACTGATGATGCTTCACCCTAACGGCCGAACGAGACCGGCCGAACGGAAGAGGCCGGCCCCAGCTGACGGGTTGACTAGTTGAGGCTGCTTGGCTAGTTTGCATGGAAGGAAGTGGGAGCTGCGGCCTGGCAAAGAAGTCGCATATGCCAGTCGTTTCCACCCTAGCAGCAGCTGATCCTCAACAAATGTTTCTCCCGTCCGCCCCCTGATTGGAACAACACTAATTGAATCTATCTAATTGTAGGCTCATCTAGCCTGAACCGGGTGTCCTCCAAATAGCGAGTGGGTGTCCAAATTTCTACCCGTCCGGTAAACTCCAAAGCACAAGCTGGCAGCTTTTTCCACGGACTCGCAGAATTTGCTGCAATTTGCAAACGATCAGCACTTGCACCAATCACGTGGCATCCCATTCAAAACCATAATGATAGCAAATAGCACCAAGTTCAATTACCAGGCTCCATGCGCACATTGCAACCAAGCCAGCAGGTCAAAAGGTTGAATCTTCGCTTATGCTATTTTTCACTTTGATCGTCCATGTGACGCGATATTGTCCCCCCGCTACCACATCGCCTCAACAAGCCGCGGCTCTAAGAATCACGAAGCTTCAAGGCAACCTTCAACGGACGCGACCGTTTTACTCGAACAACTCTCACCTCGTCCTAAGGCCCTCCAGAAGCTTAAAGCTTCAAGAAGCACACAAACTCAAACAGGTTGTGGCTGCCAGTAAACGGGCACACCGGCTGCCAGCTAGCTGGCAGTCAAATAGCCTACCAAGGTTAAGCGCACCCAGCTCAACGCCCCGGCCCTTCTGCTTTGGTCTTTGTTGGAAACTGAGTAACTGAGGTGTCCTTACTGAACCAACACAATTTAACAGTAAAATCGTGACAAGTCCTTTATGCCAAACAGGTTTTGCAACACCTCATTACTCTAAGTGCAAAGCGGTTGGACCCTCTAGGTATACCAAGTGTTCGAGGTTTTCCTGGCCAAAAAGATTTGGCTGGCTATATTTTGACGGGTTTTCCTGGCCAAATGGATTTGGCTAGTCAAATTGTGACGGGTTTTCCCGGCCAAATGGATTTGGCTGGTCAAATTGCGACGGGTTTTTTAAAAAACCCATCACATTTTTGGTGGCCAAATCCATTTGGCTGAGTAGTTTTGCTCAGAAAACCCATCACAATCTGGAAGCTCAGCTGGCCCCAGAAAAGCGATGGGTTTTTTAAAAAACCCATCACAATTCCATAGGTTTTGGAAAAACCCATCACTTTTTGAAGTTGGGGATGAGCTGGAAAGTTTGACGGGTTTTCGTTTTCCTTATTTAATTGCGACGGGTTTTTCAAAAAACCCATCACATTTTGGGGCTGGGGCCCCGGTCTGAAACGTGACGGGTTTTCCCGGCCAAATCAATTTGGCTGGCAAAATTGTGACGGGTTTTCCGTCTCCAACTCATTCATTCCTGCAAGGCCCCATTGATCGAGCTTGGCCGAGCGCAAGGCACTGAAGCTTCGGGCGCACATTGCACCTACAAGCTTCAGGTGTTTGCATCCGACTGCTCCAATTATAATCTTCCAATCCAAGATCGTTGAGCCTCCGCTCCTGAGCACCAATACAAGGTAAATGTCAAACCGAGAAAGTTTCACGTCCAAGCTGGGCATATTGAGCAATCAGCATATAAGCGCAGTGGTTGGTGCTTCCAGCTGGCTCAGGCAATCCTCGAGGCCGCACAGACCTACATCAACACATGACTCCGCAGAGGGTCGAGAAAGATCTGGCAAATAGTGTGAAGTACGAGTTGGACCTATTGAAGTTGTCAAAGTCAAGCCTTTCTTTTTGCAGCTCCAACAGGTCCACGTTCTCCATCCAAGTGCTTTAAAAATCTTGAAGCGAAAGCTCTATCAAAATGTGGCGCAAAACTTTTGAAATCTGTGGCGCCAGAAGCGGTGGATTATGTTCGTGGTTGTGAGGAAGGAGATGGTCTCTGCAGACTCTTCACACGTAACGTTTCCATCATCATCATATCTCCACGCTGGCATGGCTGCCCACTACGAAGAAATCTAAATTCTTGAAGTTCCATGACTGTATATATAGGTCAGTCTTGAGTGTATCAGGCGCATGTGGATGTTGCCTCATTCTTAGAGCTCTTTGCTCCCAAGCAGGACCAAACAAACTACATGGCTGTGTTACATGTTTTTAACGGAGCCAGCAAGAAACTTGACAACAAGGTTCTATTCCAAATCAAACACCCACTTGCTATTTGGAAGACACCCGGCTCAAGCTAGATGAGCCTTTGTATAGATTTAAGTTTAAACAAATGCATGTTATATCCTGAAATCAGTTCCTGATCGCATCAACCCTTTTGTTGAAAGCCCTGGAAAAAAAAAGGAAATGAAAACCCCCTGCCCTCCAAACTGGGCCCGGTTTTTTCACACCGGACGAATCACCCAAATCACTTCATCAGCGCAGCTCTCGGTGCCCTTCCCTTTCACCGGTTTCCGTCACCACGTCGCGCGGTCTTCGTCCAGGCAGCTCGTTGCACTTGGCCGAGACCTCTGAGGGAACGGTCCAGATGAGGATGGCGCCCTGGCGAGCGACCGAGGGCGGCGTGGACGGCGGCGGAGTGCTCACGGACGGACGGACGGACGTCACGGCCGGTGGTTAGACAGAAATGGAATCAGCGAAGAGGAAGTGTTACAGCTGAAGTTGAGGATGATGTGTTACATCTGTATTATACCATGTGTTTCATCATTGTTCTGTAAGTGATGAACACACACCCTGGTCAGAACTGGGATGAGTTGGTTGCGGTTGGGGAGCCCACTGGACTCAAAGATGTTGCTGCAAAACCGGATCGGCGAAGCAGGCCCAACGGGGAAGGAGCAAATGTTGTCGGGCTGGAATCGTTCACCCGTGGGGACATGAATCGACATGAGGTCGAAACTCGCGAACTACAAACGGCCAAAGAGATGGAAAGTACAGGTTATAAATATATATATATATATACCGTATATACCCTGGGAGTCCAAGGCGATATGTTCATAATAGTCTGTAGACTTTAGATGGGCCGAAAAGGAATCTCCTTTACTTCTTTGGTCCCAAAATATGTCTTTGGGCTTCTGGGGTCTATATGATGTATGTTATACGTATTTTTAATACTTAAACCTTTCCACCTGGTGGATTTTGAGTGGGGTGTCACCAATGGCAGATGTTCGGCCGCTGGTCCAAGCCGCTACTCCCGGTCTCTGGCTGAGGCCATGCTTCGAACCGAAGAAGCCGCACCACTCGTTCCACGGACCGGAAGTCCATGTCGTCACCGGGAGCGCTCCATGTCGTCACTCGTCACTCGTCACTCTTCGATCCGATGTGGAGATCATCCATCGTGGTCTCTGATTGAAAAGATCGAAAAACTCATTCCCCTCTTCCAAAATGTACTCAAAGCTTTGCAACCCTCCAGGAGGATACATTTCCACAACCTCCGATCTCGGGCCCACAACAACCAAACACTGAAGGCTGATTGGCCAATTCACTCTCTTCAGGGCCCCAAACCAACCACCAAAAGCAATGCTCTGAAGGCCGCTGGGCCAAGCCACTCCTTCCAGACACTGATTGAACGCAAAGCCAAAGGAAAGACTTTCAAGGCTGCTGGGCCAAGCCACCCCTTCCAGGCTCTGGTTGAACTCGCCCCCGAAGGAAAACACAATGCATGCGCCAACCTAAGCCCGTAGGTAGTTAGACGCACCCCGGTTTGTACCGGGCTTTGCACGGATCAAAGGCAAGGAAAGAAAACCTTGTCACAAGGTGCAAGCGCCCGAGGGCAAATGAAAACAATCCAGGCGGAACCCGGAAAAGAACCTAAGGAGTAGAAGAAATGGGATGCAAAGCATCGTTGATTTCGAAAGCAAGCTCACAAGCAGCAATCTGGCATTTGGCTCTTTGCACAGCCGAATCGGCTGCAGAAAGCACAACCCAACCACTTTTGGACGTGACGCGAGGCTGAAGTTCCCACCAACCAGAAGGGATTTGAAATAAACCCTCAAGAAAATCTTTCTTTGCTCTGAACTTGGGGCACAATGCCCAAAAATGCCGCATGGAGGCGAGCTGCGCATTGCAGAAAGGGCAAGAAGGATCATGGCTATACCCTCCTCTTGTAGGGGTCTGGATCGCACCACCCCGATAAATATTAAGAACAATGAGGTTTTTGCGAGAAAGCTTTGCTCGCCACGTTGACCATAGAGGGTGGGACGAAGCCTCAACATCTATGTTACTGAAATCTTCAGAGTCCAATCGAGAAGGCCGGATCTGCAAAAGGCTTTTGTGTCTGGCAGCAACCCGAAGGACATGAGGTGGAACACCTTCTGGCATGAGTTTGATGGATTCACCATACGCACAAGGAAAGGCTTTGAAGGCCGCTGGGCCAAGCCACTCCTTGCAGACTCTGGTTGAACTTCGAGCCAAAGGAAAGACGTTCAAGGCCGCTGGGCCAAGGCACTCCCTCGAGGTCATTGCCTAGTGCGAGGTGCTTGAGGCTGACAAGGTTCCTGAACGGAGTTGTCTCTTGCAGCCCTTGTAGCTGCAGTATGCCCTCAAGAGCCATCGGCTCATCCTCAACTGGGTGACCTTGGATACATCTCCAAGCCTCCTGCAGGTTAGCCGACTCATAAGCGTAGGACAAAGAAGTTGGTTTCTCTTGCACCAGCCCTTGTTGGGCCAAAGTCTTCGGCAATGAAAGCTTCTGAGATCCTTTCATCACCACGACCCTTGCTCCAGCTTTCAGCGGAAGTCGATCCCGGATGATTCTTCGAAGCTCAGAGCCAATGAGAGACTTGGCCACTCTGACCTGGAATGCATCTCCACTCACGCCCACCACCTCAATGTCCAGTTCTTCATCACCCAGTCGCTGCGTCTCCGAAGGGCCCATGGCCGATGGCTGCCCAGTCCGATCGGTCGACCGCGACCAGCTGCGGTGACAAACACTTGGTGGTTCGAACACAAAGACTTGCCAATCCATCGTGGGCCTTCTATAGATATATACCAAAAGAGGTTAAGTGACTGTAAATAGGATCTCAGTGGGGTACTATGGGATAGTGTATGGGGTTCTTCAACCTCTGTTGGTATAGTTTGGGGTGAGCAAGGTGCTATATTTACTTATTCTGAGCTTTTTGGTTCGCTGTAGTGCGACCCACAAACAGAGCAAAAGCACAAACCTACAGTGTCTGGGTTGTGCGGGGTGTCCTTACATTGGCTAAGCTACCAAACCCCAAATTTACAGTGGCTCCCTTTGGAGCCTGGCACGCCACTTGAGCCAGGCAAGCTTGGCGCAGGAAGGAGCCAGACAATCTGCACCAATCCTAGCGAGGCATAATCACAATCAATGCGCAGATTGGATTATGCCTCACTTGGATTCTGCCGACTGAGTCTCAGCCGAAAAATACCAAACAAGATCAAACAAGTGAGCTGGTTCGGCTGATTCCGACTGAGTGAAGGAATGTGAAGCACAGAAATCAGGTCCTTGCAGAAGTTTCTGGTCGGCCCTGAAGAGAAGAGAAAAGAAAGGGCGAGCAGGGCCTGTCAGTCCCCGAACAATTCGATCATGTACCTCAATCCCCAGCTGTGCTTTCATTCTATGGGGCCTTTTCGGAGAACATGTTCCTGGGCAAAAAATGGTGGAGAGAAACATGCTTGGCGTCACGAGACTTGAACCCAAGGCTCCATATAAACCACCTTTTGAGGACTGTCTGTGGTTGTGCCGCCTACTCTAAATCCACTATTATGTTGTCCTCTTCACTGACCATGTTTACCCATCTTTCAACGTTTGTCTGCACAAATCCGCCGCCTGGTTTGCCCCAAGCGTGCTGCCCGTTGACCATTCCAAACCAACCGCCAAGTTCGCTTCCAAGCAACGCAAATGGACCAAAACAATCCAACGCTATGGTACCCAAAAGGAGAAAGCTATGGCATGGGGTCCTCCAAACGAATGAGAGGATCACCCAAAAGGGTCCACCGCAGCTGGTGAAAGCACCAGCTGTCTGGATCATGAAGCACTCAGTGAGTCACGCGCACCCAAGACTGACTTAGATGGTAAGCGGAACCAGGCGGTGTGTGTGTGTGTTTAACCAACGGTGTTCTCTATACATATATGGTTTGTTCGCAACCAGGCGTCTTGTTCATATTGACTGCATACCTTCACATACCCCAAAGACCAACAGGACAAAAGAAAAAAGAACCTTCAATTCATCCTGGTGACCTGCCTGCCAACCGCCCACCCCCTTCCCCCCCTATCCATACCTATCTCCGAACCACCCGGCCACGGCACCATGGCACCTCCGACCCCGTAGAGACCACGAAGCTGGCGTCTGGGCTGATGGCCGCACAGGTGATCGTGCCGCTGTGGCCCACCTTGGAGACGACTGGTCGTCTCCGCTCCGACGCTCCGACCGGCGGTCGGAGGTGGCGGCGGGGTTTTGGTACGCTGAGGGAAGAGGAATGGACATCGTTTTGGAGGTTCGGTTTTGGCCCTTCCAAAAACCGTCTTCATGGGGTCTGTGAGTATTTCTGCCAGTTCTAGAACCTGTGACAGGTCTCCAGTCTCAACTGCTCAGGCGGAGAAGGCAAACACGCAAGTCACCAAGTGTCTAACTTGGCTGACCAGGTTTCTTTTGAGGTGCCATACTTAACATGTTCTTTGTTTCTGCTCCTTGTTTGTTCCTGCTAGTGAAGTCGTGAAGTCATTTCAGCTCCGAAAGTCAATCTCCACAGTTTCATAGCAAGAAGAGACGAACGCCCCTCCTGCATCCCAAGGAAATGAATGGGGACCGAAACGCTCTCCTTCTGGCCTCTCGTATTCAAAACATCTCCAGAGCGCCACCTAAACACCCATCTGTCCCCTGGGAAAGATCATGAAAGATCAAATCCGCCTCCAACCTAGCCTCCTTGCTCCGTTCCTAGCGATGCCCTTTGTTCCGTAGCTTCTTTGCCTCGTTCGGAAGGGCGCGTCCTTCGCCCTTCGTCCTGCGCGCCCGACGTCCGGGCGCCGGACGCCAATGTACTCGGAGACGCCCTTGTCCTCGGCGGTGTCCCGCCGTCGCGAAGCCGCGCGTCACCGGCGCCAAAGCGCGCGGCGCGCGGCGGCCGGAGGCGAGAGCTCAACGGACGAAGGAGATGATTCATCGTTCGGCAGGTCGTTGATTCATCCAGGAGAATGAAAAGAAGCATCCAGTTAAGCTCATCCAAAAAAGAAAACGCCAAGAACACTCCACTCAAAGAACAAAACCTCCGGGAAATCAGAGGACATCATAACCGCCAAAGTGATATATTATTAGTGTCTCTTTTGTATAACTCCTAATAAGTCTTACAAAGAACGCCATCTCGACCACCCAAACGCCCCCTCAACCCTTGGCCCCTCTACCCACTTCGCCAAGCATCATAGTCCCAGAGCTTCACCAAACGCTCTTCTCCTCCCGAGACGTAGTGAGAGCCACTCTTCCTGAGGACCGACCGGTCCCGCGTGTTCACGCGGTGAACTTCGTGCGATGGAAAGCGTGCTGCGTGCGATGTTGGCAGCGCCACGCTGGATGCGAAGTTGGCTGCTTGAAAGATCCCAGCAAGATCCATAGAATCATAGAACCATCAATAAAGATCAATAAAGGACAACCCCCCTACAACTATAGTACTATACCCTCCCCCTCTCCACACACTCAGTTGGTTTCCTGCGTTGGTTTCCTGCATCGCATCTTGGAGAGGTACAGAGAAAATAGGAGCTGCACCTCTCATGGCTTGGTCCTTTTCTCACGCGTTGGTGCTTCAAAGCCAGGAGACACCGACCGGTTCATCACTTCAACCTACCTGGTGACGTCACGAGCCGGGTCTCCGGGGTCGGAGAGCTCGAAGGGTCTGGTCTTTGAGCTCAGAGGGTGGAGGCCCTGAAGTCGTCCGCAAAGGCTTCTGTCTTCAAACGATTTGAAGGATTTGAAGGATCTGAGACCAAGTGCTTTTCCGACCGAAGAATTTGAAGGATTTGAAGGATTTGAAGAATTCATCTCACCGGCCGACCAAGTGCTTTTCCGACCCCCAAAATACCACCCTCGCCGGCCGACACCCCCTGCTGCATCCTGCTGTCACAGTTGCGCCCTGTTGTGTCCGAACCCCCCCAAAAAATGATCCACTCGTTCTCCCAGTGGCGACACGGAGAGCGTGGTGATCTCGCCCTCCTCCGAGCCCTCCAGAACGCGGATGGCTTGGCCATCGAAGGTGTCCCAGTACGCCACCTGGCTGCGTTGCCGCGCGCCACGGAGAGCGCCGGACAGGGCGGGTCTGGAACAAAAACAGGGTGACCCTGCCGTGACGGACGGATCTGGGAGCTCTTTTCATCCCGACAAGTTGAGTAAAATGGTACCAACAAACGAGTGGATGATGCAGAGTCTCAGGGAAGTCCAGTCTCAACCCTGGGGATCCAGTCGTACCGAACCTCAGGTTCGGTACGACTGGACCGACGTTTTGGCACCTACATAGCGGTGGTGTCGAACACATCACCATACCTGAATGCCTAGCGCAAGAGATGGCAGACGTTCTTCAGAACCCGAACGTGAAAGACTATCCTAGTTCGGTACCCCTGGTGACGGGTCCTAGTGACCTGGTCACTGGATACCTCTGTTGGTGCTGTGCTTCTTCTTCCGACGGCCCGGAAGTGCGGTCGATCCACGTGTGTGGACCGGAAGCCGGTCGCCGGTGTGGGAGAAATGGATGGAAGAGATGTCCATTGAAGGACTGGCATGATCTATACATATATATACTGCTGTTCTTTTGGCACCAAAAAAATGCTTCCATTTCGTGGCGGTTCTATGCGGTTCTAGGACTCTCTGAAAGGTCCGAGTCCACAAAGTCATGCCACGTCGCGTGCGGCGCTCGCCATGGTCCGTGAACGGCGGCCCACCCGTCGCGCCTTGCGGTCACTGCCCGTGGTCAAAAGCTGCGACCTCGGAAGAAAGGGGACTGGAGGAGTCTGGTCACCTGAAGGTGATCAACTGGAGAGTAAGGTAACACACCTGCTTGGGTCTCAGTGACCAAACGACTGGTCTTGGACGTTCCAAACTGCCGCATCTCCTTTTCTCTAGAATGGCAAGACACTCATTTCCCTCGGTCACCACTCCAGGCAATTTTCTTTTCCGATGCGCTCGCGTGTTGATTTCAGCATCTGGGGTTGAGGAAAGCATTGTATGTACATGGCTTCAAGATGTGCTTGGCTTTCTCCGTTTCGCAGAGCTTGCATGTCTGCCAGCTCCAGCTTCCTCTAACACTTGCACCAATTCTGAGCAGCCACTCTCTTTTGCCACGTCCCAAGTAGTGCGACCATGTCGGTCTAGTGCATCCTTGTTGGCTCCGGCCATCAACAGCAAGCGCACCACTTCAAGGTGGTTATGTGTAGCTGCCAAATGCAAGGGAGTCCCCCTACACCCTGTTGCATCTTTTCCTGCTCCAGCCTCTACCAACAGGCGCACCGTCTCCAAGCAACCATTCTCGGCTGCCAAGTGCAAAGCAGTGCAACTATCTAGGTCTAGCTCTTCCGTGTAGGCTCCAGCTGCCACCAGCAATCGCACTACCTCCAAGTGACCGTTTTTGGCAGCCAAGTGCAGAGCGGTACCACATACAGCTCGTGTGTTTAGTCTGACTCCTGCTTCCACTAAGAGTCGCACCACTTCCAAGTGACCATTCTTAGCTGCCAAGTGCAAAGCGGTGCCACAAACCCCGCAATCATTCTTGTTGGTGCCAGCCTTCAACAGTACTTGGACAATTTCTTGGTAGCCATTGGAAGCTGCAGACTGCAAAGCAGTCCACCCTGTTCGTTCAGTGGAAAAATCCGTGTGTCCTGCCTCCAGTAGAGCCTTCACCACCTCCAACTGGCCGTTCTTAGCTGAACTGTGCAAAGCATTCCAACCACCTTCTCCGGAGAAATCTTCTGCAGCACCTGCCTCAGGGTTCACATGTCCACGCTTTGCTGCTCAAAGGGAAAAAAGGAAACGGAAGGAAAGACTCGCCTGAGGCCTTCTTGTTGACTTTGTTCCTAACTGGTGGGCGGTCAGTGAGGCCACTTTGCTTTGTGTCCCTTGCAAAACCATGACTTGAGGGCTGAGGCCGCGCGAGGGGTAGCATGACGAGAAGGAGGATCATGCATCTTCCGCGGCCAAAAGCAAAGCCGTACGGTGACTTCTGATACCAACACCTCCCCCTGTGATCAATAAATCCCGCCCACTGTGCATGTCACAAAGCATCTACGTTCACTTCCTATGCGCCGCAGTGAAACAATCATGAGATTCGGCCTCTTGAAATCGCATGTCATGTCTAGCATTGTAATTGTCTCCACAAGCACCCAAGTGCCGACCCTTGAAGGGACTCTCAAACCACGATGGGATTGGGGGTCCTAGCTGTGTGGGTCGCTGCGTGGGTCGGCCTCGATGTTTGGACCACGGCTGTGGGTCATAGCACCCAAAAGCACCCTGGTTGATCCCAGGTCATGGCTGAACAGATTCCTCGTCTGTTCGGGGATGTCCACCGAGCGAGCGAGCGAAACCATGGCGAACGGTGAGGTGCCATGACGAGCTCCCAGCCATATCATGCCGACATCAATGACCTCAACCCATGGAACCTATCTTTTGCCACGTATGATTTTCCTCGCAAAGTTGGGAAAGCTATCACTATAGACAGCCATTAGCTAACGACAGTAGTACACCTGTCGGAGAATTCAGGTAGCTTAAGTTCGACAGTTGGACTTCTGGATCTGGGGGCCAACAACCACCACCAACCTGCCTCCAACAACAACTGCACCACTTCCAAGCAACCCTTCGCTGCCGCACTGCTGAGGGCAGAACCTCGTGAATCTCTCACATTGGGATCCTGGGGCCTCTGTAGCATCCGCTCCACACTCGGCCAACAGTTCTCGGCACACGCCGTGAGGAAGCGCAGGTTGCCACGTGGACTGGGAGGAGAAAAATCCAAGACCACCAGCTGCAAGGAAGACCAAGATGTCAAAGGCAGATCATCCTGAAGCTCACCACTCTCTCCCAGAAGTCGTTGTCGAAATCTGGAACATCCAATCTGAGCTGCAAGTCGCTGCTTCAAGTTCCGGATCGCTTGCCCGCTCTGCACCATCTCCTGCAGCTCTTGCGCATCCAGCTCGGCCACCATAGCACCGGAGACTTGGCGGATGCACAGCCGGGCCATGAGCCATGAGGCTCGGGCGGGTCCACGGCCGGGTCCACGTGGGTTGGGTGGGTGACTGAGCGCTGCCGAATGAAGTAAGATAAGTAAGGGTAAGGGATTGTGACCATGTCACGGGAGTTACTGATGGTTTCGTCGGACCTCACATCATCCAAAAGAAAGAGGTGAACCAATCCATCATCATCCTGTTCAATCCTGTTGGTGCTCAGTGGGGTGTCTCCAATTCCCCAATTCTTGGGGCGTTGGAGGTGATCCACACGTACTTCCTGGGTAGGGGAGAAAGCCTGAAGCAATGGAAAAAGGCACCCAAACCGGAAAAGTTCACACGTCTTTTGCAGACGGGGCAGACGGGGGTCGTTTGGATGGTGTCTGGGTCACGTACTGGTCAGCAGACTGGATCAAATGTTGTTGGATCCCTCTGAAAAATGAAGTACACATGTTTGCCAACTGCGAACTGTTTCACAGCCTGAGCCATATGCCAACCAGACAGGTGAAGCTTCGTACAGATTGTCCTGTGAGGAGCTCGAATCGAACGCAGGCTTTCTTGTGCAATTCCCCTAAAGACAGCCTTTGGCCATTGGACCGTCGCCACGTCCCGTCCCGATCACACCGGTCACATGCAGCACGTACGCACGTCCATTCTGTGGTCCTCCAATCCGCTCGTCCATCCAGCGAAGAGCTGAGCGAAGACGACGACGAAACACGTCCGACACCCCTTTTCGACGACACTACTTGGCCAACCTGTCGTGGATACAGATCTGCGGAGACCATTGGCAACGTGGATCCAGGATCCACCTTTTACCTTTTCATTGGGTTGATGAACGATTTCTACCCGCATGGGCCAGTGCAGTGAATGACAACAAAGAACTGGCAGGTGAACCGCAGCTATTGCTCAGATGCTCAGATTCACGTGGCATCGGAGAGAGTTGGTTCTCTGTGGACGACCCGTCGATAGTGGAGACCTGTCTTTTGTCCCAAGAGACCTGTCTTCATAGCCCTCTGAAGGAGGGACTGAACCACGGGGAACACACACCGCCAGTCCAAGTGGCTCGTCCGGATGATAGACCAAGCTCTTGAACCTCAGCTTCCAGTGTCTTTCGCAACGGAAGGATGGTGAAAGGGAGCCCGGACCTGCGGACTGAGTGGTCCGATGTGCTAAATCAGGGAGACCTTTCGGCCTTAACCCATGGATTCCAAGTGGTGTTTTCCTCTTCAGCTAAGGGTCTTTGGGGGACCTATGCGAACGTACAACCATTGACGAGGCAAGAGGGCTTGGCTTCCTCGAAAAGCCAGTCCACCCTTTTTGATTTCTTCGCAGTTGTGGAGTTCATGGGCACAAACTCTCAGTCGCATGGGTGACGCAAACTCTCAGGCCCGATACTTCCTACCAAGAGTCGTGCACGGAGTACCGAACTTGAATTTGGAAGTGCCAGATATTCTTCCAAACTCCCCCAACTGTGGGTTCATCTATCCATGCGGTCAGCATCTGCCACAGCATTTGATGCAATAAACTTGGTTTCTGACCTCTCTAAGTTGAACTAGCAATTGCGCATGAGGCTCCACAGCCATGTTTGGAGTTGTCCACCTACCTAGAACCTGAATGACCTCTATTTTGGATCACCAACCACCCAAAACATGGTCTTTTCCTATCAAAACAGAGGTCAAATAGGCTCTAGGTAGACATACCTAGACCATCGATGTATGATCTATATTTACTATACATTGGGATACATCGGGGTGGTCCGAACAAAGGGTCGACCCATGGATCGGACGGTCCATTCCAGTCCCTTGGACGGTCCATTTCAGGTGATGTCCAACCGTTTGGTCACTCCGTCAGACCCGTCACCGGTGACAGATCTCCACGACCGTTCGGTGCGAACGTAAGGAAGAAGTCGGAAGTCGAGCGAATAGATCCTAAGCTATCGATCGTGGAGGGGTCATTCCCTGAATTCACTTTCGGAAGCAGACGACTCGTGCGTTCCGACCCCACTCTGCCGCTTCACCCGCTGCCGTCCAAGCTGCATCGTGGACTCAAAGAGGCACAACTTTCGGGTCTTCCTCGGTCGCCCCCGGGCCACAGCGGCCACGGTGTCGTTTCGGCCGCACCAGGCGGGCCCGCAACGGAACCGGGCGGCAACCGGCTGGTGTTCTGAGGTGTTCTGAGGTGTTTCTCCGGTGGCTCTAGCTGCTGGTGTTGAGCCAAAACCAAGATTCAGGTGCTCGGTCTTTGTCTCACAGGGCTTTCGGGCCTAGGACCTAGGACTTCTTCCATCGCTGATTCCCGGGCTTTCACGTCGACGAAGGAGTCTGGCCGTCGTCTCGTCCGGTTCAGGTCCGGACCCCTGCCATTTGGGGAGAGGGTCGCAGAGGTTGATTCATGCTTTCACCTAAGCTACCAGCGCCAAGCAGCTTGGCAGCTTAGCCTCGTTACTGGGTGTGAATCTATAGATGTCATGATCTATCTTTGAGTCGATCAAGTGCGTCTCCCACTGCAATCTACCTGGCCCTCGCTCCCTTCGCTCCTCGCACTCGCCGACCCCAAAAACGGCCACCCCCAACCAAGCGCGCGCGACGAACACCACGCTCGGTCCACCGAGCGGTCCGTCAGGAGGAAACCACGCGACCGCGACGTCTCGACGTCTCTCGCTCGCGTCGAGGGACGTGTGAAGATCCCAAATGATGCAGGAGCCATCCGCCGAGGCGGACACCGCCTCATCCGGAGGAGACGGCCGTCAAATTGGATCCCCCAAGACCGAGGGACCCCAAGACCCCCAAAAACCAGTGCGGCAGGGCATGGGTCAGAACCCTCGGAGTGTGGCGCGAAAACGACGGCTCAAAACGGCGACAAAGCAAAAAAGAACATGTCAAATTGGGCGTAAGAACGTGCAAAAGAAGCCCATGAAGATCAAAAACGCTCCAACTTCGCTGTATATCGTCCACTTGGTATCGTCCGAAGCACCTGTGTATCGTCCTTGGCAATCTTAATGCACCAAACACGTCCTCGGTGCTCCTGCACAGGGGTCAGATTGCTTCCCCACCGTCGGCTCCCTTTTCCAGCAAGCTCTCTAATGAAGTGACCCTTTGCGACTCACAGATCTTCAGCTTTGGAGCTGCAACATCCATCGTCCAAAGATGTCCAAAGTGACCAAGTGACTTCCAATCGCTATGGCTCAAGGACCACCCAAGCAGATCAATCTGCCAGTGCCAACACAGACCGACCGGTCGCGTGGAACATCGTGGAACAGACAAATAGATGTGTAAAAACAGATGATCGATTCACCAGCGCCCAGCGGCGAACAGTGGAAGGGATAACCTTTAGATCCATCATTTTGTACAAGACTATTAAGCCAAACTCCGTTTCTACAAGCACTGCACATCTGCACATCTGCCTGCTCGAATCTACCAACAAAAAGTTCCATATACAGGAACATGCAGAAGAGTTCTCCTGCACAACCTCAGCCTACCTGGTAATTCTAGAATACCAATCCCTCCAATTCCTCCTGGTACTCTACTCCCCACTCCTCCCAAGCACCGCCTGCCCACGCTTTCCGATTCTCCCCCCCGAAAGCTGCGGACAACGACGAAGCGGAACCAACGCACCGGTTTTTCGGCCCGGGTCAAACCGGTCCTTGAGGGAGGCGTCCATGGTTTGGGTCTGAAAGCCAATGTTCCACACGCGCACCTCACCTTCCATGCCACCCGTCACCTGCCGCTCCAGCGGCCGAACCCGACTTCATCGCGTCCACCCACCGGGTCGGAAGGGTCGACCGGGGCGTCAGAGGGTCGAGTCTTGGACCAGGGTCCGAAGCAAGTCGAACTCCAACAGGTTCACAGGTCCGGCTTCAATAGGCCCTCTCGTCTCGTCTCGGCCTTTGGATGGTGTTTGGGAAGCCGCACAAAGGTGGGGGAAAAGGACCAACGCCAAAACGATCTTGTCGTTCGTGAAAAACTGCACACACGATAAGGGCATAGCGATTTCGCATGAAACAGCCAAACGCGCTTCCTGTCGGGGTGCCCTGGAGTAGGAGACCTGTAAGTAGTGTGGAGATATCCATTGGTGACCCCTTGGAAGCAGCTGGAGTAGAAGAAAACCATAGATCTGACTTGAACTCGTCATAACTGTTTCTACACACTCAATCAAGATCTGCCCTTGAGGGTGGACAATAACCTCTCGTGCAACCATTCGCTTCTGCTACTGCGCCATCTAATGCTCAGATGTCATCCGAATCAGTGAGAATCGATCAGGTTGGACCAGTATTCCTAAATCAACCGGCAAACCCCACAGGCAGCGATCTACCCCATCCACTGCTCTTCTGCTCCAAGCGGCAATGCGCCCGCAGTCCGAGGAAAGTGCCAAGGCCGTGACACCGTTCTGGTGGGCGTCATTGATGGCCTGGGACCGTTGGAGGGTCGGAGATGTGGGGTTCCCAAGAAAAAACCAGACTGGATGTCAACCAATGCCGAAACCGATATATATATATATGCATATATGACATCAATGAAAATACTGCATTCATTTGTGTCTGTTCATTGCACACCAAGAGAAACAAACCTCATCGTCCTTACAATAACGAGTCGTTGTCAAGTCGTTCCTACAATTCTGATCTCATCGTCGTTCTCTCACCTCTCCCAGGTCATCAACGATCTCAGCCAAAGCGGCATAAAGAAGCTTCCCGCTCTGCGGCAAAAAGGCACGGACCTCGCGTCCGGCGGGACGATGCTTCCGGCATCCGCGCGGGACGGTGGATGCAGGTGCCATATAAGCCGATGTTTCTGGGCTGATGCTGGCAACCACTTTTATGTGCACACCAATGCTCTAGTAGGTTGGTCTTCGGGGAATACCATATGATATGTACTTATAGACTATACTGCGGTTGTTGCAGTTTCTCTCCCCTTCTTTTCGTCTATCAATTCTCTGTCATGGAAACAGGTCAAGGCCGCGGCCTCTAGAGTCCCCCGTTTCATGTCCCCTGGATAGGCGGGTAGGCTCTGGAAAGAGCTGAAGACCTGCCTCTGAACCAGTAAACCTCCTCAAAATCAAACCCCTACCAGACCCACCAGTCTCCAAGCACGCTTCTACACGAGGCTTCGATATAGAAATACTTGTCCTGTGACTCGCACACTCCTTCCCACCCGTTCAGAGCAGGGTTCGGAGCACCGTTTTGCTCGCACCGCGCGGTGCCCCGCAGAGAACCCCCCGCCTTGCCGTCCGACCAGCCTGAGATGATGGACTTCCCATCCCTGCAACCGGGGCACTGAGATCGGGGTGGGAAGAGATCAAGCGACAAAACGACGCAGAAAGGACAACAGACTTCCGGACCTCCAGACCATTCCAGACCTGAACTCAAAACGTCGATATCGAGATCTGGATCTTAACAGCTCGTCAGACTACACCTCTGGATCTCTAGCTCTAGAAGTTCTAGATCAGTCTGGATCTCAAGATCTCTAGATAGTCTAGACCTCTACATCTCGGCTGCATATTTCTGGATCTCAAGACCTCTCTGGATCTCTAGATGTCTGGACCTCTAGATCTCTCTGGAGCCTTTTTCGTCTAAATCTCTAGACCTTGTGCTGACCTCCAGACCTCCAGACACACGGTTTTTGGGGGTCTCTTGGTCTAAGTCTAAGTTGTCGATGAAAATAAGGGAGACCTTAGGGACCTTCAAAACAAACCATGATTCAGGATGGAAACATCCCCCTGGTGGGTCGCATCCATGGTCTCGTGGTCGTTTCAGCAACGAGACCACGAGATCGAGGAACATCGCCGGTCACGTTTCAGCGTTTAGTCCAGCCGATGGCGACACCTCCACACCTCCACACCTTCAGCGTCGCGACGCGTGTGACTTTCGGCACCTCCCCAGTCAATGGACCCCCCCCAAAACAAACGACCTTCCACTCGCGCGACCTTCGAAGACGAGGGACACCCAATGAATTCGCGAACGTCACGATCACTTCGGGGATGCGGCGCGTGAATCCGGCCCATGTCCTCGCCTCATGAAGTCCAAGCAGAAGCATTCCATGTTGGGCACTTGGATCCTCAACAACTCCTGATCGTGGAAGGCATGGCATCAAGGCATTGGGGGAAATCTTAGCTGGTACGACCATAGCTGGGTAGCCTGGGTTTGACGGGGGCATGGCTCAAAGTTCGATCAAGTGATACTCAGTGATAGCTTCAAAGACTTGAAACTACAAACATGCCCAACGTTTTGGCCTGAAACCTCTTGTAGGGTCACTATAAGGTTTATTTCCAGGTTCCGGGAATGGCATACTTCTTGTGCGCCGCACAAAATGGCCTAAACACTCACTTCTCAGCTGCCTTAGTTCCTTTCGCGGTGGCTCGATTAGCTTGTAAGCTGGGGATGATTCGATTTGACGCCAGCGACAGCTCGCTCGCGTGCTGCGCAGCTCGGGCACCCAAAAAGGTAGGTCCTTCCGACCAAAGGAGCCCCGATGATGTGCAATACCTTTTTTTACATATGGATGTACAGCTTCTGAAGACACCTTCTGATGAAGCTAGAGTGCAACACTGGAATATCTTGGCGATGCTTTTCCGAACCAACCTGTGTGCCCTGACCCTTGTCTTGTTTGTTTCGTGGTCCAGCATCTTCGGACGAGGAAGGGGAAAAGAACCCATGGAACAACTGATTCTGTTCAGCTTGATCTGAACAATCGTGGGGCCCCTGTTGTCGCATGTTCACTGTAGAGCTGTTCTCGAATATGTTCGTAGAGCGGGACTATCGATTAAACCATTGAATTTAGGGCATAAAGGAGCATGTTGTTTTCAAGTGCATGTCACTTGATAACCAACATCCTTGTGCAACCAATTGTTTGCCTTACATTGTAATAGCTGAAAGCCATGTAAGGTTAATACATCACGTTCTTACAAGGCTACAGAAGGCTCTCTTTCCATCTCCCTTTGCCCACTCCCGTTTTCGACCCAAAAAAACCTCGCAAGCTGACAGTGCCTGACGCGTGACCGCGTTCCAAACGCGGATGTCCGTGACCTCAGGCTGCGGATGAGTCGAATTTCCTGCACGGATGGGCATACGGCCAAGTAAGAATTGAGGATAGTGGAATGGCAACAAGACTGACTGGTGCTTAGTAGGAAATGAGGGTTTGAGCCCCCTATAGAGATTCCTTTGGATCCATTTCCTCGTTCCCTACTAAGCACAAGTCAGAAAATGACGCCATCTTCCTCTAAAAACATGGAAAACACATCTTCCAGGGGACCCTTGGAACCAAGTGGATGCTTGCGAGTGAGTGACCTTCCTGTACCCGGGACTGTGAAAAACCCTTCTATGTTTGCTGACTCCATGGAATACCACCTGCAGGTTTAAGGTTCCAAGCTCTGTCCGGGCTTTGTGAGGCTCAAGGTCCTACCCCGCCACTGACTTCTGGACGTCGTCGTAAACTGTTGATGATTTGTCAACCGAATCCAGAAGGGTTTTGATATCTCGAAGCGAAGCTGGGGGGTATTGAAATCAAGAGTATAAATGTAGAATCTGGCAGATATTTCAGCAAACCCCGAGATGAAAGAAGCTTTACATCCTCATGTCTGGGGGGTATTTAGTACTTGCTAATCCGTCATTTGATGGTTGGAAGATGAAAACGAAGGCTCCCCATGGTTCCCTGTGCCAGCCATGGTTCCTTCCCACTGAAACCGAAGAACGCTCCCGGGCCGCCAAGTCAGACGCTCCCGGGGCGCCGTGCGGAGCAGGTGGCAAAGACCTCGGAGTAGTCCGCCGGGAAGGCGACCTGAAGCGGCGCCGCGGTCTGGAAGGAAGAGGAGGAGGAGGAGAAGGAGGAGGAGGAGGTGACTCCCTGGTGACTTGGGGAGGGGCCTCAGGACTGCCAGCACGGCTCGGCTGGAGAAAGGAGGAGCAGGGTGATGATATGTGATGAGACTTTGCTTTTGATGTGGAACAGCCCTCCAACCTCGCAAAATGAGCAGGCTGAAGCCAAGTTCTGGTATCCTCTGTGGAACCCCAAAACAAATCAAAACTGTAAACTCTCCAGAATGGCTGGTGCAAGATTACTGCTAGAAGCGCCATACCACACCCAGAAGATATCATTCATGTGAACCCATGCAAAATTGCTGCAACGAGACTTCTCAAAGCCTGCCCTGGCCCCATCTTTCCAACTTCGTCCAAACAAAAAGACTTTGTCCGAAAAGCACCCAGGTGTGGCAACAAACGAACACTTCGTGTCTTTCGGTTCGATCCAGCTAACCCAACAAAAAATCACTTCACCGAAACGCGTTCTTTCCTGCCGAAACGCGGTCTTCCCAGGTTCGCACCGCCCCACCGACGTTTCGACCCGCACCGCCCCCCAGCGACGCAACCAAGAATGCCCACCGACCGCCTCGGCCGAAAGCGAACGGCCGAAACCGCGGTTTGAACGGTGCCTGGTTGATCCTCTCGTGATGACAGGTGTTCCGCAACTCAGCCGTTAAGGTGTCGGTGTCCACCTGGGAGGGCCGAGCGCGAGCCAAAAGGTCTGCAGCGAGGCAGGGCTACTCGCTGGATGTTGGTGGTTTTACAGGAAGCGATCTTAGCCTCCGACTCCCTTTCATCTATAAGCAAGCTCTTTGTAAAAGGCAAATGGTCTTCCATGGATTCCATGGAGTTGGAATGTGACATATCTATACATATCTCAAATCCCAAAACCCCTGATGGGCGGTTTCTTTCTTGTCTGCCTTTTCAGGGTTTTGACGGAATGGTCTTTCGCTTCCCAAAAAGCCTTGGTGGCCTTCATCCACCCCCAGACGTGGTCGAATCCGGTGGTCGATATTGGTGCCATATGGACGGTTTGAAACCAAGCCTCGTTGGGAAAGATGGGCGATGGGCAAACAAAACGAAAACACTCGAGATCCAATGCTTGCTCCAATTTATGGCAAATGATCCTGAAACACGATGGCAGTGGGAACGATTCCAAACTCGTGTGTGGTTGTTACTGGGAAAAATCCAGGTGGATCGCACGACGAAGCCATAGGCTCTTGGCCCGTGACGGTGACCCCTACTCTGAGCCGTCGCTACAGTATGACGTGGCACATATCAACGGGGTGCCTCTGAGGAAGGCGCTTTTCTGAGCTCCAGCGTTCTCTCTTCTCTGTAATGAGCGATGATGCTGAAAACAAAGCCACGGCAGCCACGGATGGTGAGAGCGGATCCAGTAGAATCATCGTCCGAACTGCAGAGAAGGCATCCGACTTGAGTGGCGTTTTGGAGCCAAGAAGCCTATATGAACAGGCTCAAAACCAGACCTTGCAAAAGCTTCCAAGAAAAAAGAGCGTGCGGTTTGGAAGCTTCTCAAATCACATACCAGGACCCCCTGTTTGGGGTGTCTGCTACTAACCCTTTGAAGGTTGAGGGGTACCCATGAACCACCCAATTCAGCTGAAGAATCGATCCAATCGCTTGGACGTGGCTTGGACGCGGAACTCGCGCGTAAAAGAAACCCGCGCGTGCCGCGGGAAGTCCACCCCCCGCGGGAATATTCTTCCCAGTGGCCCAGTAGATATTCGACAAGGTCGTGCCACAGAAGAAGTGGGTGCCGTCCTCCCACCGTGCGTGCCACATGAATGGCGCGGTCGTTCGTGGCGGAATGGCCGAATGGCACCCAAACCGAGGAATGGCCAACGTCTCGGGTACGTCGGTCCGGTGTTTGGTTTGTTGAGGGTCAGGTCCAGTCTCAACTGGTCGATGGACTTGGGACAGGTCAGGTCTCATGTGGATCCGACAACTGATTGGATCCAGGCAAACCGCTACAGGTCACCAGTGGTTCCAAATCTGAAAGTGCCCCGAATTTGGGTTCCCGAAGCAGTGGAAACCCAGTGGTTAAAGCCCTGCTGATTCCTTCATGTTCCTTCCTTCGTGGCAACACATGGTGACTGGGATCCATTGGGATCCACTTGGTGTCTTTGCACTGGTCGAGTGTCGATTGCACTCGACGTCGAGGATCGTGAAACCCCATGTCTCGGCACACATGAAACCAGCCACACAAGTCCGCATCTGAAGGAAACATCGGAACATGAGCCTCCCAAACCGAGTCCCCTTTGGATCCTTTGGATCTGATAGATTCACTTCATCCATTCTCTAAGAAGGGGCAAGTTGCTCACCCCCACTCGGTGTTTGACCTCTTTCCACCCACACCCCAGCGTTCCTTGGCCCAGAACACACCGCTTTCTTCGCCCCACCGGACCGCTTCCCCCCTCGGACCGCTCCTCGGTGAGCGCGACGCTGGTGACTCCACCCAGGACTTGGCATTGCTGCTTCACTCGCAAGGTATCACCCTCGGTGAGCGCGACGCTGCGCCAACTCCGACCAGAACGGCTGAGGCGGATCCCGCAGGCAGGCAGACGTGTTCTACGGGAGAACGCGTGAGACGGATCTCAAGGGCCTGGAGGACGGGGAGCCCTTGTTCAACAAGAACTGGGTGATGGGGCCATAATCACTGCAAGTGTCCCAGACCTCTCAAAATCCAAAAAAAGTTAAGTCAAATATGAAAAAAACGAAACCTCCAAGAGATTTTTGAGAAGTCCAGCAGGTGAAACACCTGGTGAAAACCACCCCTCCAAGTTGACCTCTTGGTCGCCCTGCGTTGGTTCCCGTGTGTCCGGCGGTTGCTGACGCCAGCTGAACTGCAGTCCCAGGGGCCGAGATCCGCGCCAACACGCCGTTCCCCGTGCCCAACACCACGTCACCGTCCGGCAACCTCGACAGGGCGAGGGAGGAGCCCGAGAAGAAGGGGTGGGTTTTGGGTGGAGGGTTTTGGGCCCCAGCTCCCTGGGAGTGGCTTATCCACCCTGCCCTTCTGTGAACTCGAGCCACGAGAAGGGGAGTCCGGTGGAATGTGTCCGAGACCACGAGCTTGGAAGGCCAGTCCGGCCAGCTTGGGAGCCCAACACGTTTAGCAAAACCTGAATGAGAATTTGACATGTTGATGCAATAAATGGCTCCAAGATCCAATGATGAAGGATTTGGATGGGATTTTCAGATGCAAATCACCCAAATTAAATGATCGCATCATATATATATATATACAGTACTTGAGTGATCAACGCTGGAACTCGAACGATCCTCTTCCCAGAAATGGTGCCGTGTCGCACACGACACCTGGAGCCAAGTGGGAGATGTGGTCCCCCCTTCTGGAGAAAAAGCAGAAGAAAACGATGTAGAACTGCCAAACAGGGACCAACAAAGCAGAACTGTTGTACCACTTCTTCGGCTTCCCCCTTGTTCAAGGCAATTGTTCTTGTCCACAAAAGAAGACCCTTCCCCGGCCGCTCCACCGGCTTCGACCGGCCCCTGTCATCCCGGCAGGGCCGAAGTGGTGATGCCCAGCGCGAAGGTCTGGCGACGGAGCAGAAAACACCGGAGAAGACGAGACCCTGAACATGTGCAGTCGACTTGGGACTGGATCCCAAGGTACCTGTAGTGGGAACTCATTTCCCATGCTGTCGGCATTTGATACCTTGCTGCAGTCGTTTGTTAGAAAAGCTGCGTTGGGCAGTCGTTTGCGACCTGTTCTAAAGTTGTGCAGTCGATGACCCTCAGGTCACACATGTAAAAACATGTAATCTGAGTCTCTGAAGGCAGATCATGTAATCTTCCAACAAAGTTGGAGAAGTAATGGTCGATCCCCTTCGAAGGGGCCTTGTCATTGCCCTCCTTCCTGTTTTCGGATTAGTATCCCGCCAAACATGCTTACGCCCCGAAAGGAATCCGTTTTCCGAATACCGAACCAGAAGGTGTTCCACGTCCATGTGGGACTTCGCGCTGTCGCGCTCTTCGGAGGGACTTCGCGCCACAAAGTCTTCGATTCAAAACGAAACGCGGCCTTCGAGGGGCCGCCCTTCGGGGTATACTGCTTGAAGAGCGCGTGGCCCAACTCCACCTGACAGCGAGGCAGGTGAGGTCCGTCCGAAGAGGGGCGAAGTGTTTCACGGAAGAACAGGCGTCCGAAGAGGGGCTGCAGCAGTCGGGCCGGTTGCATGCGATGCACGGCAGGTTGCTTGCGGTAGTTCAGTTATTCCAATTTCAAGCAAACGCGCGTCATTACATGAGCCTCAAACAAACGAACGGACGAACGAACGAACCAACCAACCAACCAACAAATAAACAAACAAACAAAAACAAGAAATATCAAACGAGATCCAGTATAACAAATTGTCCATTTCTCTGCTTCGTCACATGTCCAAACACCCGTTGGAGGCCCCAAAAAAAACAATGCATGTTGAGGCCCCCTTCAGTCGCACGTCATCAAACCTTCGTATACAAATGAAACAATTTAGGATGCATCATGATGCGAGATTTGCCCAAAAAGAGAACCTTGTTTACAAGGTCAGCAAAGGCTGGGAGTCAAGCACACTTGGACCTCGTCTGGCTTTGTCGTTGGTCCCGTGTCAATTTGACCCCCGAAAGACCTCAGGGCCCACCCCGAATCATTTCCGGATGCTTGACATTGGTGTTGGCATCTATTCTTTCTTCCTTTCACCTGGGCTGGGAACTTCCTTGGATCCGCCTTCCCATGTCCACTGCATGTCGTCCCACGCCTGCAACAAGTCACCGGTGGTGGTGCCGCAGTAGACGAACTTGTCCTCATGGTCGATCAGCACCTCGGCTATGCCGTGGGTCCGCGCGGTCACTTCGAGCGAAACATCTGCTTCGGATGCCTGATTCGAACGGCGCACAGGGGCCGCTCGCGGCACCGGACGCTCCTTCTCACCGGGACACGGTCTTTCGAAATGAGAAACTGGATGAACAGAAGACATGGTCCACCTACCACGGTCAGTTTCCAAGGTGCCATGGTGGCACCCATGGCGCCCTGTTTCCTCCAAGCGGCGTTGGTGGTGATGCGCTTCATCTGCCCGAGGTTCGCCTGCCGACGTCACCGGCCGCGGACACCGGTCGAAGAGAAAGCGCGTTGAGCGCTTTTTCGCGCCTCCCTTTCGTCTCGGTGGAGCTCGGTCGAGCTCGGTGCCTGGGTGGGCCGCAACTTCTTGTTGGCCAAGTCAAACTGCCAAATCACCACATGGTAGTTGCCACCTGAAGCAAGGAGGTGTGGGAGGAGGGAAGCAAGGAGTTTGCCACCGCATCTTGTTAGCCTGAAGCAGGAAATCAGAAATGGCTGGGATGGGTGTTCGGGGAAAGGAAAAATGAGGGAGCGAAGGAGGTGGCTATCGGGGAGCAAAGGGGTGAACGATGGATCTTCGCAAACACTTCATTTCCCAAAAGGCCATACACATGTCCACTATGGGACTCCAGATACCACATGCGACCGAAAAACCAAGCAGGTTCATATGGATGAATCTACCATGCTTTGCATGTTCTATGAGTATAACGTGGCTGGAGCACACGATTTTCCAGCGACTTGCTTTTCTGGAAATGCTATGTTACACTTGTTTGACATGTTAAGCTAAATTCATCCCCAACCCACCGCCACAAGTCAAGAATCCAGAACCAACGACACATGTTACCACGTCTGCACAGCCACAAGTTACCAACATCACACTTAAAGGTGAAGAAAGTTAACAAAAAGTGAACACCCATGTCATTCCAGAAAGTGGTGTTTTCGTGATCAACCATGCTATGATGGGTTTCCTCAAACATTATGGGTTTGCTCATGAGATCAAATTCCTCAAAATGTCTCATGAACCTTTGGTCGTCTTCACACTCTGTGTGCGGGTCTAGCACAAAGCCCTGTTGGTTCTATCATCCATGGCAAAATACCACTGACCAACTGACCACACAAGACATATAAACATTCGTCGCAGCACCTGTCACGAGACTGAACTCCGTGTTGTTGAAGAAGCGAACCTGGCAGACCCCCACCCGACGTCGCACGCCGAGCGAACCGCAGGCTACCGGTTCCGGCGTTCAGCTGACGGCGTTCGTTTGTAGCGCTTCAGCGTCGCTTCTCCAAAAGTCGGAAGAACATCAACATCTGCAAAGACACTCCACATCATCTGCAGGGAATGAGTCGGGAATAGTGTCTTGTGATGTTTCTTTGAGAAGAAACGAAGGGACACGCCGAATGGGTGGAACTGTTCATCGAAGGCTACCGGCTCGGTGGCGTGGCACGCGGCGGTAGCGACCCATGGAGAGATAGAGCGGAGTCACTGAGTCTGTCGTTTGGTGCCAAATCTATGGTGGTTTCAGAGGTTCGATGCCACAACTGTCGTATTTCATGCTTTTACATGGGACCAGGTCCAGTGTCTAAGACATTCTAAGACATGTGCAGCCTCGGACCATGGAAAAGACCTCCGACACCACGTCCACTCCGCTGCCGCGTTGGCCCGGTCGGTACTGGGTCCGCCCGGCGCAGTGGGCCGTGTCCGTAGCGGCCGGGGTGCCACACACGGCCAAGCCCCGCTCCACCTGGCCGGAATTCCGTGGCGGAGCGGGAATTCAGTTCCAGTGTCCCGGGGGGCTATGAAGAATGACTGGGAGTCTTGGAAACAGGCGGAGCGTTTTCCAACTTCCATTCAGTCGTTTCCCAGTGTCCATGTCCGCCTGGAAGTGTTTGGGGGGAGAAAAATAATGCGAGTGATGTCTGGTGCAATCGACTGGTTGAGACAAGGAGAATTGGATGAGAAGGAGAAGGAAATCGAAGTCCATTCTGCTGAATGGGACAGACTTGTTTCTGGCGTCCCACATCCTGGGCAAAGTCCGCGTCCGAAGCAGGACCCTGCTGGACTGACGTTTTGTTTTCCCAAAATCCTGGGATGTGATCCTGTTCCATCCATTCATGTCCGCATCCACATACCACGTTTCATTTACCCAATCCACATACCCATCCAATCCTTGTTCATGGGATGATCATGTTCCTTGATGTTTCGCCCAAGTCCCTCTCGACGGACTCCACATACCCATCATGTCCATGCATATCCCTCAAAAAGCACTGACAACTCAATGATCTTCATGCAAGGATTAGAACACACCATTGCAAGGGTAAATCTTATCTTCATGTGGCACCTTCTTTGGTCATGCTTAAGGTCTACTTGACCTGCCCTTCGAATCCAGCAGCACGGCGTGTTGGATCATGAGCGGCACTGGCTAAGCCTCTTCTGTGCGGCAAAGAACACCCCATTGGGCCCCATGGTCCCGTTCAACTGATCTTGTGTCAACTCTTCCAAGTGGTCCAAACAAACCACAAGGTGGTCCAAGGGGTGTACATGATCTACCAGGTATACAAATAGCGTGTGAATGGTGTGCAACATCATCCAGGTCCTGTCTAATTCAATCACCTGGTATTCAAATTGACTTTGGATTATCCCCTCTCTGCCAGTCTCCCATTGACGCCTCCCAAATGACCAAGCTATTGTCATCCTGCAGGGTGAGGGCTGTTGTCTGTTCGTGTCAGCGGGCAATCCAACCCCAAAAGACGGCTCATGTGCACATCGACGGTATTGAGAAAACGACACCGAGCGAGAAAGGGAATAGATTGACGCCATCCCCAAGTTTGGTGCTTTACATGGCCCCCCATCTTGCTGCTTAGGCTCGCCTCGGACGCTTCTCCAACTTCGGTCCACGTAGATGGACCCCCGTTGTATGAGCTTCCAATATCACCATTTCGAACAAACCAAAGCGGCAGTGAGGAGTGGCTGGTCCGACCGAAGGTGGCAGCTCTCTCGAAGGTCTTGGAGGTGCAAGGACACTCCGACCCAGACACCGCTCACCCGACACCCCGAAAACACCGCCCCCCCGAAGCACCGCGGACAGTGTGACCGGTCTGCGTTCGTCCTGACCACCCAAGGTCGCCAGGTAAGTCTCATCACAGGAGAACGACAAGGACGTCACCGCCTCAGTCGTTTCTGCGGAGCGAAGACAAAGCAGCGCGCCCACGGGCGGCAGTGCGCCTGAGAAAGCCTCCTTTTGGGCGAGCGCTCGCGGGAAGGAAAAGGTCTGCCGCGAAACCCCCGGCGATGGTTTCGGTCATCACCTAGTTGGGGACGGATTGATAGAAGAAAAAGGAAAGCGGACATACCACCGCACCACCCAACAAAACGAACTAAACACAAAACCCATGCATCTCCCACATCTCCAGACCGTTCGCACCTGTTCTTTTGCGAAAGATCGGAACGTCGAGACGTCCGACACCTCTCCTCCTCTGTGAATGGACGGACGGCTGGGATTCGCAGGTTGGAGGGCTGCCATGCTCGTGTTTCTGGCTTACTCCGGACAACAAGCCACACCAAAACATGGGGCAGTGGACCCGGAGATCTCGCCCAAGAAGTCCTAGGAACTAGGCGGCTCTGGATGTTTCAACCATTCTAGACGTCACTAGGCGAAGAGGAAGCACTCCAAATGTCTCAAAAAGGATCCAAACACTGAAGCCACCATGATCGCGTCATGGCCTCAAAACCGCCCAAAAACCACACCGACAAAAAGACCGGAAGAGAGCTTCCTCCGACCCAGAAAACGCTCGTAGCGTCTATAACTGCGCCCAAGGGCCACTTTGTGCAAGGACAGACGATGAATCTCCTTTCTCTGCTCGAAGTCCCAAATGATCACCTCAGAATCCGAGAAATGCTTCCTCTCGCTCCCCCGGGAGCGACATCGGAGCGCCCGCAACGCACCCCGCCGACCGCTCGAACGAGCTGCGAACAGTGAGTTTCCAAAACATGAGTCCGTTTCGCTTCTGTGATGAGTTCCCAAAGGTCTTGTGAGCTTGTCACTACAGTCTTCCTAATGCTGGAATGGAATCGAACTGTGGAAATAACTCTCTTCTTCATGCCAACAGAAAGCCCTGGAAACTAAGACTTGGAGCTGCCCCTGACTAGACAATCATGCACAGACGCATGAATGTATTTACAATGGGATAGCTTATGCTGTGATGCGCAAGAAAATCATCAAGAGGCATCTCACCACGCTAGATTCTTCCCCAAAAGACTCTCGCAAAAACCTCTCCCACACCTGGCAGTTGCAGGCGCCTTTCTTCCAACAAACCGGTACTCGGGTCGTTTTGTGACCGGAACGAAAAGGTATATAACTTCCTGGAGTTCAAAACCAGACGATGCCGGCAAGAAGCATCCGCTGGGAAGCCCATGAAGGTCTTTTGTCCTCAAGCTTTTTGTGGTGGACATCTTAGACAGAAACAAAGGCGTATGTTTTCACTCTGCCAACTCATAGATCGAAGACGGTGTTTTGTTCAGATTTGCATGGTGTCCTTCGGTTCCACAAGCAGTTTATGTCTTCTTGTCCATCTGCTATGATGAAATCCCATCCTTCAACTGACATCAAACCTCCAAAACGGGTGGTCCACGTGGAAGGCATGAAGCACCAGACCAGAACTTGCTGGGCTTATTGTCGCTCGTAGGTGGGAACCAAATGCGTTCGGCAGCGTTTCGGTCGAGCAGTGTGAAAGCTGGCATGCGGCACACTGGCGTGGTCGGCGTGTTGCGGTCGCATGTAGCTGTCACATGTCGTCATACGGGTGCTGTCACGGGAACATGCCCATCCAAGTGCGACGGGTCTAGGACATCCCATGAGGCCACGCAGGCCATCCCACGGTGTATGTTCTGAGGAAGTAGGCTGTCCATCACGCTGCTGCATGCGCCCAACATGGAACACCGTCCGAGTCCTAGCCCCCTTTTGTAATTCCCCCGTATAGCCTTTAACACGGTCAATTGAGCTGAAACACGCAGGTCAGCGAGAGTTGGGGTGTCCCCACATCCCCCCAATCCGGTGCGGTGACCTGGCGATCTGCGGACGGCTCGGCGCGGACGTCTCCTGAGGCCAAGAGCTTCCCCGACTTGGAGACCTCAGGCGGCGGTTCTCGGCAACACGAAAGGCGCGCGTGACGTTGCGACGAGAACGTCGGCCTCCCAACGTGTTTCGGTCTCCAAGTGGTTCTTTTTTTTTCAGGTGGAGGATGATCTGAAAGAGGAAGGAAGTATGGAAATAGAAATTCTTGTGAAGTGGAAAAAAACATGTTGGAAATCTCGAGTGTTCCAATCTGTGTCTTCCTTTCATTCTAATATTCAACCTCTTTCCGCCGACATTCGCACATCTGAAAAAACTTCGCATCGTCCACCGGGTGTGTTCGTCATCGTCGCAGGTCCCCGGGCGGTGATGCAATTCACCTGCTGTCGAGTTCGGCGCGAGGTTGCTGGTTGCGAAAAACGTCTCAAGTTCCCGTGTCAGCTGCTTCTCAAGCTGCTGCAAGTCTCTGGAGGTATCACGTGTGCATGAAAAGGACAAGCACTTGCATAAGAACACCCACCTTTTGGAGCCGGAGCCGTGAGCCATTTGGAGCCAATCTCACCTTATCAAACCGGTCTACACTCTTAAGATACAACGAAGGCAAGTAGATCTTCCAACAAAACCGGCGTATCAGAACGCGCATGAACGCGCCTGGTTATCATGGCCCTGCAAAAACCTGGGGCGCACGAGAAACGCGCGCGCGATCGCGCGCCCGCCCGAGAGCTCACACTTTCTCCCAGAGGCGACACACTGGAACCGAATCAGGAGAAAATGAGACTGCCCAAAAAATCATGTGAATGCTGGAAGGTCGTTGTTGTTGGGGTCGTAACGTTGCAGCCTGATCTTCTTTTAAAGTCAGCTATCAGGTGAAGTCCGATCGAGTAAGTCGCAAAGCTTGCAGTCTCTGAACGCAAAACAACTTCCCAAGTGGCCAACAAACAAATGAACATGCTCGCATGCCCCAACCAGCACGTTCGACGAGTTCATACCATCTACCTCCTCAAAATGCCTCTTCTTTGGTCATACAATCATAAAATATCATAAAGACTAATATCCGTATAAATACCCTTCAGGGTTACTACAACCCTCCCAGCCGAAAGCTCGACTCTCCACTTCCACCTCCACTTCCACCTTTTTGGAGCTCGGCTTCGCTGGGCCTCCCGGCGCCTGGGTACGCTTGATGAGGTTTCGCAGGACCACCTGACGGTGACCCGAAGAGCGCTCCAGCATGGTTCCCCCGCCGGTCGATCTCGATCGAGCGGCTTCCCAGCGGTGGATCGAGCGGTCCGAGACAGCAAAAAAAGAAAAAACAGAACTCCAAAGGGGCATACTGGAAAGCACCAATTCGTACGACCCCCATGATGACCGTTTGTTGAAGAAGTGCATCCCAAAACATCCGTTTGTGGCAAAGTGCCTCAGCTGTGCCGGCCTTAGGGAGATCACCCCAGCTGCTCACCGAACAAACCTGTTGCATAGAACAAAAAAGAATAAAAACACCCGTGCCCCTCACTGGAATAGAACGAACCAAAGAAACGCCCAGCGATGTTCACAAATCTTGGTCTAGAGTCGAAATATGTCTAAATGAGTCATAGCGGTTATCTACTGTTCCATGTGAAAATGTGGGTCTTTACGTAACCACCAATCTCTATCCAATCCACCAATTTGTTGACTGTTGATGGTCGAGGATATACTCATCAACAGCCAACCAACATGGTTCTTCTTCAGCAATCTTCAATCACTTCAACTGACGCTGCCAAGCAGCAGTGCAGCCCAAGGGAAAGATCAAATGCTCCTGAAAAAGGGTTCAAGATCACCGCGCACGCGGCGTATGTGTTGTTTTTGCGTTTCTTTTCATGCGGGAGGTTGACTGGCGGTAGGTGATCCCACTCTGCAGTGTCAGCAATGTGTGGCCATCGACTGGGAATAATTAGAGAGTTGCCTGGACGAACTTCAGGAGTTTTTTCCTTGGGGAAGGGTCGAACTGGGTGCCCAGAGCCAACGACCAAAGCTCAGGTCATGGCTCAGGTCATCTGGCTTCACGTCGAAGAAGTATCGATCTCAGCTGCTAGAAATGTCTTGCTTCAGCAATGTCACCCAAAGTTTCACCCCTTTGGGTAAGCAAACATGACCTTTACGTCCGCTTCTGCCCCAAAACTGGACCGACCTCGCGCCGAACTCGCGAGAGCCAAAAGGACCGAACTCCGCTGCTGCCGGAACCGGAGCACTCCTGATCTGGGTGTAGGATGAGGCTGGACTGCACCGTTCCCTTGAAGCCAATCACAGCCTGGCAAGCGGAGGGGGAATGGACGATGAGCTTCTCTGGGCGGCGTCTTTTTGCAAAATACACATCTCTGGTCTAGCCATACTGAGCCTACTTCAGTCAGTAGCCTGCTTGGTTTATGGCGAAGTATATATTATATAGCTGCTTTGATGCGCATGCTGGGATATTGAGTTCCAATTGACGATTGAACGAAGCTTATCTGAAACATATTGCAGCCACTGTTGGCCTAGTTGGTTGGAAGCAACCCAAAATAGTTTCACAACAAAACAGCACGCACTTGGCAGATGTTTTTGGAAATTGAGACCTTCCTCAGATTCGCCTCTCCCAAATGGCGAAACGCGCAAATGGAGCTGGAACGTGGCTGTCCACCCTAGCTGCAGGCTTGTACATCAAGGAGACCCCTTGGCTGTTGACCATTCTGAATGGTGGACCAGTCATGCACAGTCTGGGGCTCCGTATTTTCGGTTCCTGGAATCCGACTTTCGGTTCCCTAGCGTCTTTTTTTCCTGGAATCCGGTTTTCGGTTCCCACCGGTGTTTTGGGTTCCCGGCGGTGTTTTCGGTTCCCGCCGGCAAAGTGTTTTCGGTTCCAAGGGTGTTTGTGGTTCCCAGCGGCGCGGCTTTGCAGTTCCCACTAAAAGCTTTGCGGTGCCCTCTTCGGTTTTTTTGGTTCCCGGAGGGTTTTGGGGTTCCCGCATGGGTGTTTTCGGTTCCCGCGCCCGGTGGCAGAGAAAGACATAGCCCGGGAGCGATTGACAGTGCCCACGACCGATTTTCGGTTCCCGCGTTTGGTTGGCTAACGGATTTGGGCTTTTATTTGTAACAACGACCGCGGTTTGCGACGGTTATGTAAGGCGAGGCTTTTTGCATCCGTTCGGCTGAATTTTTTCTAACAACGGTCATGTCAGTTATGTGAGGCGAGACTTTTTGCATCGATGCGGAGGGTTTTTTGAATGGTTAAACGTCATGAAGAGGGTTGTTTTTGCGACGGTAAGGAACCAATACTGCTACTACGACGAAGACGACGGCCATGACTATTCTTACTATGTGTACAACAGCAGCAACAACAACCAGTACCAGTACCAGTACCAGTACGAGTAGTAGTAGTAGTAGTAGTAGTAGTAGTAGTAGTAGTAGTCGTAGTCGTAGTAGTCGTACTACTACTACTACTACTACTACTACTACTGCTACTACTACTACGACTACTATACTACGACGATGACGACTACTACTACTGCTACTACGGCTAGTATACTGCTACGAGTACGACTACGACGACTACGACGACGACAACAACAACAACAACAACCACTACCACTACCACTACCACTACCACTACCACTACTACTACTACTACTACTACTACTACTACTACTACTACTACTACTACTACTACTACTACCACTACCACTACCACTACCACTACCACTACCACTACCACTACCACTACCACT